CCAGGCGCCCCGACCTTGGTGCTTCTGTGGCAGGAATAGCAGAGAGCTTTGGGGTCAGGGAAGACTTCTGGGGTGAGATCACCCTTGGCTGAGTTTGGAAGAATGTTAAAATTAGCTCCATGAGGCAGTGGGAATCGCTGGAGGGAGGGCTTGGAGATGGGAAGCAGCTTGATGTAGTGTCTCTCGGAGCCAGGTCCTTGCAGCTGGAGGGAAGAACCTTCAGGGAGAAGCCCGTGGGGCTCCGGGCTGAGCTGAATTCGCTTGGGTTGCTAGAAGTTCCAGGGAGCCGCTGAATGCCCCTGCCTCCCTGCCTTCCTAACCTTGCCTTCCTTTCTGGTCCTCGCAGACTCATCCTCTCTTTTCTTGTTCTTATTAGTTCCCTCAACCCCCTCTTTTCTTGCTTGCCTTTTTTTTTTTTTTTTAAAGTTTTAAGTAATCTCTACATCCTACATGGGGCTCAAACTCACAACCCTGAGATCAAGAGTCAAGGGTTCTTCCGACCGAGCCAGCCAGGTGCCAGTTAACGCCCTCTTCTAGGTCTCCCCTATCCTCTTCCTCTCTTCCCACAAAGGCCTGCTCTGTTCCCTCATCCTGCCCATCATTCTCTGTTGTCACCCTTCCCTCCGGAGGAATCCTGAGCTCCCTCCCCCATGCAACACTGAGTCATTGAAATTAAACCTCCAGACCACCATTTGGAGAGCACAACCACTTTATATGGTGTGAAGATTGCCAGGGTACAGGTTGTACGCACAGGTGCAAAGTATGAGTAGCCTCGTTGTGGAGTTTTTACCGGCATAAAATGTCTCGTCTCTGCCCTGCGCGACCCTCGGGCCACCTAACCAGGCTGCTCCCTCTCTCTTCCTTCCGTGCCTCCTACATGATTTGAAACATGTCTTTTTAACTGGACTCCTCGGGGTTGTCTCAAGGCTGGTCTTTGTGAAGCCCTAATTCAAACCAGCTGTTCCACAGCCTAAGTCCCTTGGACACAACTTTGTTCCCGGCCACCAAACCATCCCATTTATTTCTTCTTAATTCCTGCTTGCCCGCCTTCACGCAGGCGTTCTGGAAATATCTCTCCAACTCTTACCCGTTACCAAATCCTAGGCCAGGCACTGAGATCCAGAGATCAGGAAGATCTATTCTCCCCCTGAAGGAGCACAGTGTCTAGAAGGGAGAAATGGCCCCGTGGACAAATAGGGATTGCAAAGTGTCCCTGGGAAGACGGCGGGATGGGTCAACTCTGACAGCTGTGGGGCGTGGGGAGCTCTTCACGGGTAAGCCTTGAACTGCTTCTGGAAAGCTAGGGAGGAGTTCTCCAGGCAGAGATCCACCCAAGCCAAGGCCCAGAGGTCTGTACCAGCACCACCTGTTGGATCTACAAAGAGTTTGTGTTGAGAATTATTTCATACCAGGTGAAAGGAGGATGCAGGAAAGTGAGGATGGGACCTGGGTATTTTGTGCCGCAGCGGGACACCTGGGTGGCTCAGTTGGTTGGGCATCTGCCTTTGGCTCAGGTCATGATCCCAGGGTCCTGGGATCGAGTTCCAAATGGGGGACCCCCATCTCCCTCTGCCTGCCGCTCCCCCTGCTTGTGCTTTCTCTCTCTTTCTCTCTCTGACAAATAAATAAATTAATTTTTTAAAAAAAAGGTTATTGTGAGGGGAGGTAGCAAAGTGTGTGTGCGTAAGGGGCATGCCCTTGGACAAGGGGCAGAAGAGAGGAGCAACAGTTTGTGTTTAATCCCAGGCTTCCATCTGTCTGTCTCTCCCTCTTCTAAATTTTATTTATTTGACAGAGATCACAAGTAGGCAGAGAGGCAGGCAGAGAGAGGAAGAAGCAGGCTCCCTGCTGAGCAGAGAGCCCGGTGCAGGGCTCGATCCCAGGACCCTGAGATCATGATCTGAGCCAAAGGCAGAGGCTTTAACCCACTGAGCCACCCAGGCGCCCCTGTTTGTCTCTTCATAAATGGTGTCTTCCTGCACTATCATGATGTCAGGGGGCTTGTTTAAAGTAAAAGCATTTACCTGATGAAGGAAAGGAAGGGTAGAGAAAAACCAAAACTATCACATTAAATGATCCGGCCTAAAGAGAAGTCCAGAGGAACTGAGAAACCCTGAGTCAAGTATTAAGCTTTCTACCTTCCTTCCTGGTGTGCCTTTTCAGCAGACGATGTCACACCACTAACCAGACAAACCAGCCCCACCGAGCCAGGAGCTGACACTCTCAGGCAGCACGATGGGTAGGCGGGCAGCTCCCGAATGTTCTCGGGCCCAGAGCCTCACAGGGCAACAGGTGTGTTCACTGAAGATCTCTTTAGCATCTAATGGCATTTTTCAGTTTAATTTTTTAAAGATCTTATTTATTTATTTTCGAGAGAGAGCGAGCACAGAGGGAGAGTGAGAGGGAGAAGCAGACTCCCTGCTGAGCAGAGAGCCCGATGTGGGGCTCAATCCCAGGACCCCGAGATCATGACCTGAGCCAAAGGCAGACGCTTAACTGACTGAGCCAACCAGGAGCCCCTTCATTTTAATTTTTGAATAAGTAGGACATTTGCTTGTTTCAAAAAGTATCAAGGGGAAGGGGTGCCTGGGTGGCTCGGTGGGTTGCGGGTCTGCCTTCTGCCCAGGTCATGATCCCAGGGTGCTAGGATCAAGCTTCAAGTTGGGCTCCCTGCTCAGTGGGAAGTCTGTTTCTCCCTCTCCCTCTGACCCTCCCCCATCTAGTGCTCTCCCGCACTCTCAAATGAATTTTTTAAAAAAAGTTTCAAAGGGAAAGGGAAAATCATCCCCGTTCTGTCCCATCAGTTTCTCGTCCCCTTACCCGGTTAATCACTGTTTCTAATTTTTTGCGTGCTCTACCCAATTTCTTAATGCATACATAAGCACATAAGAACGTGAATTTTTATTCCCCCTCCCTCCCACAATGTTCCACACCACATTTATCCCATTGGCCATTGTCTCTTGGAGACGTTCTATGGAGATACATGCACGTCTATCTAGATGATACATTTTTAGGACAGGACTTGCTGGATCAAAGTGGAAGTTTTGATCGCTAATGTCAAATTTCCCTTTGTGGGGTCTTCCCCGTATACATCCCCACCACCTCCCCTACTTTCCCTCAGCTTTGGCACCAGAGTGGGTTTTGAATCTTTCAGTGTTTGAGGTGAAAAGAGGTGAAAAACGGTATACCCGCAGAAGTTTTAATTTGCATTTCTTTCACAAGCGTGACTGGCGAAATGTTTAAGACCCATTTGCCTGTGTCTTTGGGAGCTGTCTCTCCCATCGAGTGTGAATTATCCAGAATGTCAGAGCTCAGGGCTTCCCATGTGTTTTGGCGATGTCTCTGGAAGCTTTGAGAAAATAGATACCTTTATTTAAAAAATAGCCGCTTGGCATCCTTTGAAAATAAAAGAAGTACCATCTACAGGTCACCTCAGGACAATATGAAAACGCTGCAGGACTCATTCGAGTCTTTGTAAGTGTAACATTTTTAGTCCTTTGTAAGTGTAACATTTTAGTCCTGTAATAAATACGTTTTCCACGAATCCACCTGTATTCACCCCCCCCCACCCCGCCCAAATAGCACCGATGGTCTTCTCTGGTCTTCAAAAGAGCATAAAGAAGTCCAGAAGTTAAGTGTTTTAAATCAGCCCTCCTTGGGTCCCAAATATCCCCTCCCCCAGGGGTCCCCAAACGTGCACCACTACGGGGGTTTGGGAAACAGCTAAGAGGCAAGCCCCCCCCACCAGGGAGGTGGTGAGAAACCACCTGAGAGAGGAGTTGGACGTTTTTGTTGTTTTTTTAATCCCCAAATAAAGATTATGGGCCTTCGCGAACAGAAAACAGCTGTTGGCAAGTACTCGACCCCCAGGTAAGACCCGATCCGAGGCTCTTTGAGTGGCCCTCCTTGCCTAGCCCCAGCACCGTCCAGGGCGGGGTCGGCAGGATCTGGGGTTCAGCCTGTGCGGTGACAGTGGCGTCCCTGACATGTTCAGCTGTTTCCCTCCCCACCCGTCCTCGCCCAGCCCAGCTGGGAATCCACCCCGGGGAAACTGGCCCAGCTGGTGTGACCTCTAATGAGTGGTTGGGTCATGAAGAGGAGGAGGACCTGGGCTGGGAGGGAGGTGGGAGCCCCCAGGGCTTAATTGTGCCCACATAGTTCTCCACTGACTCAAGTCTCGGCCATTGGGCTCCCCCCTGATGCCCTGCCTGCTGGTGCATCCTTGAGAACCCCAGGACTCAAATTCTCGACCATTCCTTGAGGTTGGGGGAGACCTCTGGCTCTGTGGGCCACTTTGCTAGCCTCGGCCCCCCGTTCCCCAGGATGACCCTTTTCCATTACGTCCCCCACAGATCCTGGACCACAGCCTCTGAGATCAGCTTCTCCTCCAGTGAAGACCTTCCAGGCTGGTGACTTGGGAAGACATATGCTGTCCCAACGGTGAGGGTCATGGATGGTTGCTGAAATCATGGGCAAGGTGCTTTTGGCTCCTGAGCCACCCCTTTTATTGGTTCTGGAAAGGCAGCTAGAGAGGCCTGGGTGAGAATTCTGACCTGGATGAGTCCTGCCGTTGGGCCCCCCTCCAGCCACAACAGAGCCCCACCTGGCTTCAGGCAGGTCACCCAGCAGATAGGGACGGTGCCTCAGGGCTGGTGACCCCACAGGAAGGAAGGGACCACCCAGCTTCCCACCTTGCTCAGTTCCTGCCTGGAGGAAGGGAGAGTATCTGCAGAAGATACCAGCCCCTCTGGGGCAGGGGCACAGCTGTTGCTTCTGAGCGGGGGAGGGCACCCCATTTTCTACCCTGGCCTGGAGTGTAGAGTTGGCGTTTGGGCCCTGAGCTCAGCTCCATCACAGGGATCATCAGCCCCCAGCCTCCCTGACCTGACGGGAGCTGGCAGGCGGAGTGGGGAGTGAGGACGCTGTCCAGGCCACCCATCCCCGGGGGCCTCACCCCTCCCAGGCGCCCCCCCGTACCCCAGTTCAGCCCAGGGCGGCGCTCAGGCCTGCTTCCTCACCAGCAGCACCCAGGGCAGGATGGCAGCCACCATGGCCACCACGGCGACAAGGGTGATGAGCAGCAGGGCCCGCGAGCGGCAGCAGAAGGCCCTGCCGGAGCTGGGGGCCGGGGAGGCCTCTGACAGCTCGGCCAGGCTGCGCCGTGGCAGCACGCTGTCCTGCTCCCCCAGGGGCATCCCGTGGCGGCTGATGACAAAGATCTGCGGCTCCCGGGCCAGGCCCGACGGCAGGTCCAAGGGCAGCGGGGCGCCCTGGCTCGGGGCCGGCCTCCTCACCTGCTGGGCGGCGGCCAGGGGGTTCGTGTGGCCCAGGGTGTCGGGCGGGCCCACGGGCACGGCCAGGGTCTGCGAGCTGCGGTCCAGCACCGAGGGCCAGCGGGAGCTCTTCTTGCTGAGGAAGGTGACGTAGCGGCAGATCGGGCAGACAATGGTCCGCTGCACTTGGCCGTCCACGCGGGTGGAGAGCAGGTACTTGACCAGGCAGTCGTGGCAGAACACATGGCCGCAGCTCAGCGTGCGGCTGGCGCCCTCCAGGTCGCGGAACTTCTCGTAGCACACTGGGCACTCGCTGCCGGAGCTGTCCTTGCTCTCCCCTTCGGACATGGCCACCCCACGAAGGCCCTTCCGCTGCGGGAGACAAGGGCGGTGAGCCATGGCCAGGCCGTTCCCTCCTTCCCAGGGCCTCCTACACCTCCCGTCTCCTGCCTCCCTTCGTCTTCTCTGGGGGGCCTCCCTGACTTACACCAAGACGGGGCCCCTGGGCCCGGGCCCCTGGGGAGGAGATGAGGGGGCGCTTCTGGAAGGGGGGTTGGGAGACCGACAAGGAGAAACCCCAGCCCCTCTGAGACTCTAGATTGAGGCGCATGGAATGTGCTGCAGGTGTAGCCTGCTGGATACCCTCCCCTCAGCCGTGACAGGCGCCGCTGGGTGAGGTCACCACCTCGCCTCTTCCTGCTTTGATGCCCGAAGTGAAGGCGGGAGGACCCAGGTGTCCCCACCCACCCCACCCTGGGAAGCAGACAGCTAAGCAATGCTCCCCCATATTCAGCCTGGTTTCCAGTGTGGGTCTGTTTGTTTGTTTGTTTTGAGAGAGAGAGAGAGAGCACAAGAAGGGGAGGGTTGGAGGGAGAAGCAGACTCCCTGCTGAGCTGGGAGCCCGATGCGGGACTCGAGCCTGGAACTCCAGAATCATGACCTGAGCAGGAGGCAGTCGCTTAACCCACCGAGCCATCCAGGTGCCCTGGAGTAGTCATTTTCCAGGAGATTCTCCGATCCTCCTCTATCCAACTCCCCCCCCACCCAATCCTGACTCAGGGACTGGCTGGTCCATTGGATGGTATCCAGCCATGGATCACATTCCTCTGTGCTAAGCGTGGCCATAAAGCAATGACTCCTTTGAAAACAAAACTCAGAACTTACACATCCAAATGCCTGCTGGCCCTCTGTGCAGTCACAGCCAGGAGCTGTGGGCTCGGACCTCCACCTGCCCCAGCTCGCTCATTCTTCAGATTCTTACTGGGCGCCCAAGGCTGATTAACCTTGGTAAAGGCAGATTTTCATCCTTCGAGGAGATGTCTGGTGTGCTGGAAATGGCCCAGGTCACTGGGAGCCAAGCCTGGTGAGAAGGTTACTGGGTGTGTTAAACATGATCAGGGAGCAAATGAGTGACCCCCAAAGATTTTCTCAGCAAGGGCAGAATGGTTGAATTAAGTCCAACAGTTTCCCAAGGAGTTGACTTTGAAGGCAGACACCCGCTTGGGAGGTCCAAGTGTCCTCGCTGAAAAGTCCCCCGTATCTGGGTGCCTGGGTGGCTCAGTTGTTAAGCATCTGCCTTCGGCTCAGTTCATGATCCTGGGGTCCTGAGATCGAGTCCCACATTGCTCAGCGGGGAGCCTGCTTCTTCCTCTCCCTCTTCCTGCTGCTTCTCCTGCTTGTGCTCTCTCTCTCTCTCTCAAATAAGTAAAATTTAAAAAGTCCCCCGTATCACAACTGTGTGGCCTCAACTCCTCTAGATCAGCCTCTTTAAAAGGAACCATGATCACCTGTCACTGATATTCTCTTCCATCAAGGAGGTAGACAAAAGACCCCTGAACACAAGCAGAAATCTGGGCCAGCCTCCAGACCCAAGAGATGACCCGATGGGAACAGGAGCAGTTACTAGAAAAGACCACAGCTTCTCAAATCATAAATTTCCTGGAATCTCTCTCTCCTCTTGGCTTGGTTCTCAATGCATTTTGCCAAGTTGAAAATGTCCCTTAAGGGATAAGGAACAAAAATATGGAAAGGTGGGGATAGGGGACCTGGGACCTTGGAGGCAACACCAAGAGCTTTTCAAGCTTTGGTCTCTGGGTGATCCGTGTGGCCCTCCAGGCTGGGGGTGGGGGTTTCAAGGGTTCAGACTCTGGAAATGAGTTCAAATCCTAGATATACCCATTATCGTTTGTATAACCTCAGGCAAATTATTTAACCTGAGCCTGTTTCCCACCTTACAGGTGGGGTTAATAATATCATTTTCCTCTCAGAGTTGTTCAGGGTATTTTTAAAAAGATTTTGTTATTTATTTGAGAGAGACAGTTAGCACGAGTAGGGGGAGGGGCAGACAGAGAGGGAGAGGGAGAAGCAGGCTCCCCGCTGAGTAGGGAGCCCGACACGGGGCTCCATCCCAAGACCCTGAGTTCACGATCTGAGCCGAAGGTGGGTGCTTAACCGACTGAGCCATCAGGGGGCCCTGGGGTTGTTCAGACTATTAAATGAGCTAATTTAATTTAATTTAATGAAGGAAGAGTCTGGCACACAGTACATGCTTGACAAATGGTAGGTATCACTGTTAAGACCAGCCGAAGCCTCTCCCCTCCTAGCATTTACCCTCCTCTCCCTCCCTCTCCTTCCCAGTTGTTCCTTATTATGTAGATAAATAAACACACACACACACACACACACACACACACACACCGACAGAGGGCAGCTCCCCTCGTATTAGAATAACTGTACAAGATGATGAAGATCTGTGGCTCCTGGGGCAGACTGGGCAAGAGTTCCAAGGAGAGATTAGGTAAGCGATGGGCAATAGATAACAATTAAGATGGTGATTCCAAGGTTTCTGTCATTTCTGTTTCATAACACACTGGCAAGTGTCTCAGCTAAACAGGGATTTTCTCAAGGAGACCATGATTCTCTTAAGTCAATGGCTAACATGTCCCCCTGCATTTCACAGTGCCCCACAGGCATATGGCAGCAATTCCATCCGTCCATCCATCCGTCCATCCATCCATCCATCCGTCCATCCATCCATCCGTCTGTCCATCCGTCCGTCCATCCATCCTTCCATCCATCCATCCATCTGTCCATCCATCCGTCCATCCATCATCCACCCTTCCATCCATCCATCCATCCGTCCGTCCATCCATCTATCCATCATCCGTCCATCCGTCCGTCCGTCCATCCATCCATCCGTCCGTCTATCCACCCATCCATCTGTCCGTCCATCCATCCTTCCATCCATCATCCATCCACCCATCCATCTATCTGTCCATCCGTCCATCTGTCCATCCACCCATCCTCCTGTCCATCCATCCATCCATCATCCATCCATCCACCCATCCATCATCCACACATCCAATTATTCAACAAATAGTTATTGAGCTCCTGCTGTATACTAGCTACTAAGCTTTGGCATTGGAGACAAGCAGCTTTAGACCCTAGTGGACATGCATAACTGTTTTCGAAAAAGACTTTTTTTTTTTTTTTTTTTTTTTTTTAAGGAGGAATGGTGGTTAGTAGCTGAAGTCTTTTGGGTAATTGAGAAATAGGTATCAAGGTAGACAAGAGAATTAAAGCAGATAATTAACAGAATGCTAGGGGAAGGAAGGACTTTGGAGGTCATTTAGTTAAATCTAGTTTTATAGGGGAGCAGACCCACCGGGTCCAGAGAAGACTTGATTGAGGTCACCTGGGAGGGTGACAGAGAGGGGGACGGCAGAGAGAGAGGGAGAGAGGAGATTCCATAGGTGATGCAGAGAATATTAGAAGAGTTGTGGGTAGCTATTTAGTTGGGATGAGCAGGGGAGGGGGGAGCAGAGCCTCTAATTCTGGAGGTGGCAGAAAAGTAAAAGCGATCCAGGCATGCAGAGGACATCCCAGGTCCCTCCTGGTGGCCTCCCTGGGCAATCCTTTCTTCCTCTGTGCTTTGGGAGCAGCATGTCACTCATGCCTGGACAGTGTCACCCTCCCACACCTTCCACTCACCTCCCTCTCTCGCCTCCCTTTCTCGGGCTTTCCCTGCCCTCTCCCTCCTCGTGTTCCTCTCTTTCTCTTGATTCCATTTCGTTCTTGATCCTTGAGATCTTCTCAGGGGCCGGCCTCTGTCTGGGGTGCTGGGGGCAGCAGGAGAAATGCAAGGAACGTGCTCGGTCTCGGGCTCACTCTAGCTCAGTGACAACGTGGACATTATGTGCTGAAAGGTACACCCCCCCTGGTGCCTTGGGAAACTGGGAGAGGAGGTCTGGAAAGCCTTCCTAGCTGAGGTGGGACCAGAGTCGAGCTAATAATAAATGATTATAACAGCAACCATTTATTGAACACTAATTATGTGGTTGGCATCCTTCGTCATGAAACCCTGACAACAACTCTGGGAGGTAGATATTATCCCCATTTTACAGATGAGGGAACTGAGGCTCGGGGCTTAAGTAACTCGTTCAAAGCTGCACGGCTGGGACAGGGGCGACCTAGGGAGTTGGGGCCGCCGCCTCTGGTGAGGGTTTGGATGTGTCTGCATGGAGGGCGGTCCAGACCTTGGTCACTGAGAGCAGGACGCTGGCATAGGAGATCCCAGCCCCCATACCTGTGTGGAGACACCGATTCAACAAGCATCCATGGGGGAAAATACCTTATGGGAGCTCCAGAATCCAACTAGATATGTTAAATTTGTACAGCTTGCCTTGTGAAGGGGTTTATACATGTATATAAAAAAAGGACTACGTGAAACTTGCTTCACCCTGGTCGTGTCCCTCTTCAGAGTGACACCAAACAGGGTTGTGACTACAGCCACCTGGGAGGCAGGGGGACAACCAGACTGGCCCAAGGTGGGGGCCTGACCTCATGAAGCCCCCAGGGCCCCCCCCAGAGCAGCAGCCCACCGTGAGGACTGGCTGGGGGGTATCCGCAGCCCAGGCGGTTCCCACCTCCTCCCCCCTCCCCCCACCCCCGGGGACAGCGAGCCCCATGGGGCAGGGACACTTCTAGGCAGCTGGCCTTCCCTCCTGGGTTCCCAAAGCAAGGCCCCATAGCCTCGGTTGTGACCACTCCCCTAGACACCACACACACACACACACACACACACACAGACACCCTGTGCCACTCTGGTTTCAGCCAAAGGCTGGCGGGATCCCGCTCCTTCCCCGCCCCCAGCCAGGCCCCCAGACTCACTTTGGCTGGGACCAGGGAGAGAAGCATCCACCCGGCCGCCGCGTCCTCCACAGAGCAGGTCTGAACCGCCCACGGGCGCTGGGCAGACAGCACCGTCTTCCTGCTGCTGTCACCGCGACAGCCGCCGCCGAGGCATTTCCTAATGACTGAGCTGGTCGGGAGGACAGCGAAGGGAAGTGAATGTCGCCCAACCCGT